GTTTTAGCAAGTTAATCACATAACGTCACTGCATATATTAGATGTACTAGAATAAGAAAAATATTTAAAAATAAAAATAACGTAGTCTTATTAAATATACGCACTCAAGACCACTCTCTTAATGGTGTTCAACTCAGGGGATTTTAACCCATCAGTTTGTTATTCTGGATGCTGTATCTTGTAGCAGCTGCTGACTTAATGGCACCATTTAATTCAAAGCGCTTTGATGTTAGCAAACGGTATGACATATGATGTTAGAATGGCTTGAGTCAGAAAGGCAGATACAGTAATAGCAGGTACGGACCTGTGCGGTTCAACATCTCAGCTTTCCTTTATGAATGATTTCCTATATAAGCAAAGAGAAGTACCAGGTGACCTAATAGTCTTGTCTACCTTTAACTTCAGTGATTTAACACTGCAAAGTCATGGTGCTTAATGTTTTAAGCTCCATTAAGGGAAGATTATTCTAAACTTTAACTTCTGAAGGACTTTGCTTTTATACCCAGAGATTCACATATCCATGCACAGAAGCGTGCAAAATAAGCCCTAATACTGCCATAATTGTGTGCGCAATTGCAGTGATTGCATGTGGAAATTATAGAAGCATGTGCTATTATGAGAAGCACGGTCCAGATTCCTACACAATAGTACCGCATTATTATGCACTGACATAAGTTAATTCTCTTACCATTCAAAAAAAAAATTAAAAAAAAAAAGAAACACACAGAAAAGAGTTTCAGTTCTGAATCTAGATGCTCCCTCAACCTGGTCAGCTTCATTCTCTACCAGGTACCAAAACCTTTCGACCTCACCTGTATGAATGTTGCCACACTACTGCCTCTCATTTCCCATCTAATAGTTGTTCATAATAAATGCCCTGCTGGTTATCCCGTTTCTATCCTGAGCATCCTAATTAACCACCTATTCATTACTTCAGAAGCCACAGCCAGCTAGGATGGCAGGACGAAGGATCTCGTTCACACTAACAAAGGAAGCCCTATTATACACAATGCTGTATAAATACTGAATTTCTTTGTACGTTCCACTGTTTCCACACTCGTATACTTGGACACTTGTTTTTGGAGGGAGACTTCCTCTTTTTTTCTGAGATGAAAATAGCAATCACTTGTAACCAGGGAGATTTGGAAGTTGTGAGGGATTTTGGGAATAGCTTACTTGGAGACACACTGTGAGATTTAAGTGGCTTGTTGACCCTCTGAATTAGCCTATAAAGAAGAATCATTTCTCCCAGTCTTAGAGCTCAGAAACCTTTTTGCACAGATGATCACTATTAGAAAAGCTTTTAATATGATCAGTTCAGACACCTGTCTAGGTGTGCTGGTTTTAAACAGAAATTTGCAGGCAAAATTTCTGTAATATTTGGCTAACTGTTCTGAAAGGCATACATTCTGTTGGAGAGCAGAAAGGGTTAAGAGTTGTATTTTGACCATAATAAAAAGACATTATTTTGAAGCCTGCACAAATCCTTTTCTGTCTCTGGAATGAGGGAAATCTGCTAAAAAGCAGTGAAATTGTGATTGAAATCTTGTTCTCCTGGGACAGTGCCTCTACATCCTTTTGTGAGCATTTTAAGGTCCTTTATAGAGTGCAAAAAGATCATTTCTTTTGAGATAGTAACAGTTCTGACTTCTCTGAATGTAAGCCTCCTCCCTCTCTGTCTTTGTGCTGTCAATTAAGATGTTGGTTATATTATCTAATGTGTTCAGATACTCCTGAAAGACCTGGCTGGACATTTGCACTTAAACTTGATTGACATTTGACTTGTGGGACTGGAGGAAGCCTCACAGATTGGTTAGATGATAAAATTCATCACTAGAGGGGTGAGTGTTGATTGAAACACTCCTATTGATTCAATTCCCTGATGTGAATCGTTGTCAGCCAAAAGAGGGAACGTAGCAGGTAGTTCAGAGTGGCATTAGAACCAAAGAAGCCATACGTCAATATGGTCCGCTATAAACAGTCAAGTTATTTTTTAAAAGAATGGGAGAGTGTTGGCAGGAATCAATCTTTAAAAGCCTGGTTATTTTCAGGATCTCTCTTTTGTATTGAAGTTCTTGTTGAACTCTATCACCATTGCTCCTGAGTAACCCCTTTAAAGCGTTGACAAAGTGTGTCTTTATTTGGTGGTTTTTGTCTTTATTTTTCCCCACAGTATTTCTTGTGGTTACTCCTACATTCTCACCACTCCAGAAATAAATTTATCTTAGCACTTGAAAACTCTTGTTTTCCTCAAAATATTGTATTTGAATTTCAAATTCAGATGAGTAAATGTGATGACATGACACATGACATGTCCTATGTTAAGTGCTGTCGGGAAAGGTCTACCTCCTGATACCAAGCCAAACCTCAAAGCCTGTTCTGCTTTGCAGTAACTTGCTTTATTTATTGATTGCTGAGGGCCCTTCATGCTCTGAACTATATGGAATCCTATAATGAAACAGAAATTCCATTCTAGAAGAAATTTTTAAGAACAATATTCAGTTTGGCTTTTTTGGGTAATGCTTTTTCCTTAAAATTAAGCAAGTGAGGTGGAATTTCATGACTCACAGATCTCCATTTTGGAACTTTTGTTGACATTTTGAGCTGTTGCTTCACATAAATTCCTGCCAGTTTCCCAATCTGTGGCTCTTCTTTTTGGATGTAAGTACAGTAGAATAACCAGTTTCCCAGGAGGGCTGACAGAGAACGTTTCTGAGTTTGCTGGGCTCCATGAAAAGCCAACGATTCACTCCCTTTTTGTCTCTTGAACGAGCACAATATTCCCCTTGACCCTGCAAGTGCCCTTTCCACATCCTTGCTTATACTTCTTTCATAACTCCTGTTTGGTGACTTTTAGCATTTTGGTTCTAGATACATGTAGTTGTGGAAGGGTAGGAAATAAAAGGATAGTATCTACAGCTCTTAGCAGAGCCAAGTCCTTTATGAGAACTGGGCATCTGATTGCTGAGAGCTGTTTAAAAATCCAGCAACATACAGAGTAGATGATTGTGTGGGGTATGTATGACAGCAGAAGAGATGGGAGTTTTCGGAACACTGAAGCAATTTATAATACACATGTAGGTAGCTTTTTTTTCCCCAGTTGCTAATTAGCTAATCAGTTTGAGGTGATAGCGTGATTCATATTTTCTCACAGCATGGCAATAGGGGTAAATCAAGCAAGGTCATATGTCTTCCTAAAATTCCTGCTTACAAGTGGTGAAGATTTCTTTCCAGCATGCACAAAAGTGTGTTTTCTTTAGGCTTCTCCTTCACCTAAGCCCTCAGGTGGCCACAGGGAATCAGGAGATTTGACAGAAAGTCAAATGACAGAAAGTCATTTTCCCATCGCAGTTGAATAGATTCAATAGGTGCAGTGAATTGAGTTTTAATTGTCTGCCATTCTCTGCTTTCATGGTTAAGCAACAATGTTTGAAGAATGTTTTAATTAGTGAGCTTCCTTTCATTGAATGTCTTAATCTACAAATACTTTTTATGATTAATTTCCAGCTTGGCCTCCCTTTTGTACTAACAGGCTTTCCATGCTACCAGTTTGTGCCTTGAGGTCTACCTTAGCAAACAAACAGTAATTTCATTCTTTATGTTAAGATGACAGGATATCTTGAAAATGTTATAGAAAAAGGTCATCATTTTTAAAGTTTAACCAACTGATATTAAACACGGTGAATTTCAGTCCCTACAAATAAGAGAGATCTTAAACTTCACTGGCCCCAGTTACTGTTTTTACTTACAAGGTTTTTATTTTCCTCCATCTTCCTGTTGCTTTCTGGCTAAAAGTTTGGAACGGATTTTTTCAGCCAGAACATTTCTATCTTGTAAAGCTTTCATTTCCTTAACTTTACCTCACTATCAAACTTGCTTCCCTACCTTTCATTTCATTAGTAATTTCAGTCAATATTCATTTGTTACTGTGTTATAACATTGAATGGAGAATTGAGCTGAGGGAGAAAAATCTTTTCGCTTGGATTATTTCTCCACAGTTCCATAATGCAGTATAACATGTATCTCGTTAAAAACTGCAAATTAAAATGTTATTAATTTTTTTTATTTCTGAAGAGATTAAGAGCTTGTGAAGAAGCAGGTTATTTTAGTGTGAGCTTTCTTCACTGCTGTTCTGTGAAAGTTAGGGAAAGTCAAGTCCATGCTGAAAGATGCTTATTATGACTTTTATAACAGGTGATGCAGTAATTAATTTTAATAATAGAAAGATAGGCATCGGGCACTGAATGGAGTGCTGAAATAAAAGGTGCTCACAGTTGCGGTATCACGCATAGTAATTTTTGATACAATAAAACAATTTCAAAATAATATAGGTAATTATTTTTTTTAATGTCTAAAGAAGGGTTGGAACAAAAAGGCCAGCCTCTATCTCCCACAAAGAGCAAAGGAGAGCAGCCTGAGGACCTGCAAGATAATGCTGAAGGTAGGTGGTCTGACAGCTTTTCAGAGCTATTAATCAGTTTTGCATTTTGGGGGGAAAGGTTTACTCTGAATTCTTGAGAAAGAACTGGAAAACTTTCATTTAAGAACATTGTTTGCACACACTTGGAAAGTTGCCTTTGGCCTAGATCATGAGATTGTAATTCTTCTGAAATGTATTTCATCTCAAAGTAGATTCAGAATTACAAATGCTATTTTTACATGATGGGCTACTAATTATTGCTGTTATAAAATGAGAAATTGTTGCTGTTTTGCCTCTAACCTGTTCTGACTTTATGTAATTAAGAATACAAAATGTAATGCGTGTTGTGCAGGGCTTGGGTCATAGTCTGGTTCGTTGAGTTGGTCAGGTAAATCAGCTACCTGCTGCAAAACATGGAGCAGTAAAATTCTTGCTTTCCTTTTCTACAAGAAATTTTTGCTGTGTCCCTTTCCACTCCAGTTATGGTGTTTATGGCTCTAGACTTTATGCAGTGTATTACATCTATCCATGGTCAGGAGTCACAGGTGTTTAACATTATGCCTATAGTGTTGCTCCTGTAAGAGTGCTTTCCTGCACTTGAGTCTTCAGAGGGCAGCTTGTCCATGTGTACGGAGGTGAATGTGGTCTATGTTGTTCTAAAATTGGATCAAAGTATCTTTTCTTAATCTGTATCTCATTGGGAGAGTTGTTAAAAGATGTTAACATCAAAGACTTATTTTCAGAGTGCAGAGTTTCATGTTGCTCTCGTATGTATGGAAGAGCAAAACGCCCCAGTGCTGGAGAATTCCCCTTACGTGAAATAGTTAAAAGGACGAACCTTAATCTTTAATCCATGACAGTTCCTTATCATGGATTCTCTTTGACCTAATGTTCCTCAAATGACACGTCTCATTCTGCACCTCAACCAGTGGCTCCACGATCTTCATCATTTTGACCCAGTGCTATGCATTCAGCTCCTAAAATATTCTGACTGGGGTATAGTGTGAGTCATAAAGAGCAGAAAAATGTTAACATCTATCACTTTAAGTAACTGCTAGTAACATCCTGTCACTAACATTGTGACTGGTTGTTAATGGCAAGTACTTAAAGCAATAGCTGTCATCGCCTGGAAGGTGTGGGGGGACCCAAGAAATCTCATCCTGACTGGTCTTCTTTCCTTTCATGCTGCACTAAACCCAGCTGAAATTAAAATACCAGTTTTATGTTTGGATTAGAGAATTCAGTGATGACAAACCACATGTCGATTTGTATGCAGGCTAAACGGTGTGTGGGATTGTGGCGTCATTTTCCATATTCCTAAATAGGGCAAACAATAATGGTTTTTATGATATTTTTTTATTTGGAGTGTGACTAAAACCTTTCATTGTATCAGTGTCAAAAAAAAAAGAGGGGGGAAAAAAAAGTATTGCAAAACTGTAACGTTTTCCTTCCATTGGAAAAATAACTGATGTTGTTCCACTATTTCTGTGGCTTACTAGATACGGTTTCCTAGTTTACTATGCCTGTCAATGTTTCCTGGTGACCTATAGTTCACTTTGTAGAGCACAAACAAATGCATTGGAAGGGTGAAGTAAATAGCATGGCAATAGAATGATTGCATTACCCTCGAGCTGTAAAATGCCTGAACTTGAATTTGATGCTGTACAGTAGATTTTGCCAATGCAGAATTGAGGCCTGTAACACATGATCACTGCTGCAGAATTTAATCTAGCCGGTGATGGAGTCCTCTTCTCCTTAGGCAGGAATCAGGCCTGTAATGTTTAGGATTCAAAGTCTAAATTTAGACTTGAGGGTGGTTGTGATGGGGGGGGGAAAAGGTAATTTAAGTGTTTGCTTGGGGGGGGCTGGGAAGAAACCTGGATCAGATTTCTGTGGCATTACCTGTGCCTCTGTTTTGAAGAGGAGTCAAGCTGTTAGGCTCCAGACACCGAATTCCTATAAAGTTGCCGAGTGGCTAGAGTCTAATGTAACACACCTGTGAGCCATTTCCATTTAAGTAAATGGGATTTGCACACATTTGTCTGAGAATAGGATTTAGTTTCTACTGTTCTCATTATTAGCTCTTGGTTTTGACTAATTAGAAGAACTTCTAATGGGGAGCCTTGAAGATTATGAAAGCTGTAAATATGTGACAAGAACCAAAACTACATGTCTGAGTAATTTTATTTAGGTAGGAGTTTGTCTTCACTTCCAAAAAACCTGCCTTTTTCTTCTTTTTTTCTTTTTAAAAGAACTTCTGAGTGGCTAATGCATATAAACAGTCTCAAATAAAACACAATAAAGCCAACTTCTGCCTGAGGTCAACTTTGTTGAATTTTCTTCATGGTAAAACTGAAGTGTTTTTTGTTCAGCGTGTTTTAACTTTGGGATAGTTCACATGCTTTAGATACCCCAAATTAAAAAAAAAAAAAAAACAAAAACCCACAAACCTGAAAAAAAAGCAAACAAAAAAAACCCCAACCCATAGCTTTCAGCAATAAAAACAAGTTCAAAGATACATATATTTAACATAAGATACTATTTTCCCCTTGGTAACATGACCAGATATAAAATATTTAACAAATATAAACTGAGGCACAGGAAGAACCAGATATTTTTTCCTCTGCTTAGTTGTCAGTGTCCTTTTAGACTGAAGATGGGAATACAACTTGCTATTTTAACAGTCTCATGCATGCCCTTGTGGCACTCTGTAAAAACTATTCCACTGAGTTCAGTAATATTTCTGCTGTAATATTTTTCTCCAGCACACCAAGCTGGTTCATTGGCTAGAGGTAATGGAGCAATATCTTTTCAGTGCATGTAAAAATCTCCACAGAAGATCACGGAAAGTAGGCTCCTTCATTATTACCCTCTCTGCAATCAAGGAAAGTTGAATAAGTGGCTGTATGTAAGGAGCTTGTTTTGCAGTAAGCTAAAATAAACACTTGACATGCTAATGAAAGCAATTTTATACTGAACCTCTAAAGTATTAACGGTGTCTGTTATTATGCTATTAGATATATTGTTCTCTGCCTTCAGACCGTTGATAGAGAAAAGCAAGTGTGAACTGCATAGCAGATTCTCCTGTCAATGGTTGTATTCAGTAGTTTTTCACTGTAGCGCAGGTTATTGTCTGGGGAAATGAATAGACTGGATACACGGAGAAACATTCTTTACTCCCAGGTTCCCTGCAGTATTTCAGGTTTGACATGTGCAAACATACAGTGTAATTTCCACGCCCCCCCCCAGCTATCCCAGGTCCTGGGAGAGTAAAATCAGCCAGTGATAATTTTGCCTTTCCCCTCGATCAGGTGCACTCAGTGATTGAGTGATTGTAAAGTCTCAGGTGAGAAAAATATGTTTGGCTCTAAACAAAACTTAGCACGTCTTACTTCAGTAGCTTCATAACACAATCCTAAAGTAATTACATAGACAAAATGGCAGTACTTGTCACAGCATAGCAGCCGTGAGTTAGCACAAATGCCACAGGTCACCTGTTCTCATCCTACTGATTGTCACCAAGGAAAAGCAAACAATTTTTACAAAAATCTAACAAAACAAAAATTTAAAATGTTCCTTATTTCTCTTAGCTACCTCCCCAAATGTCCTCCGATATATACTGAACGGCAAAGTGCATGCCATAGATTTTCTTGATACTGGGAGAAGCAAAACTGCCCTCTCCTTCTTTACAGGAATTCTCAGATATAAAATGGAGCCTGCCCAAGAGCTGCCTCATCCGTTCCCACCATGGTCTGCAGGTGATCAATACTGTATCAAAGATGACTAATACATCTAATAACAGCAGCATAAATGCCTGGTCTTTCTCCTCCTCCAGGAGAAAGATAATCAATCCATGTAGCAAAAGCCGTTTCTGTGCCTCCTGAGGTCAGGATTCTCCTTGCCCTACCTCAAGGGATGTGAAGACAGAACTGGAGCTCTGCAAGTTGTCTTGCTCCAGCTTTTCTCATAAGGTTCTCCCATAATGAATGAACAGATTATTCCTGATAGATTGATAGGTTGTTGGTCTCACACGATCACCTTAGCTGAGGCTCCGTGTATGTGCGAGGAGCTGGTCTGTTGGAATTGCTTGTCCGGAATGAACTTTGTCTGCTTTCTGTTCAGTTGGTGAGAAGGAGAACAGTTTGATGGATTAGCCAAGCCAGGAAGGTCAAAATGAACACAAATCACCTTTAAGACAGTTGGTAGAGTTGGTTCCTTTGCCTGATGGGGTCATCACACTATCGACCCCTTGGCTTTCAAGGGCAACATCACATGTCTGAAATGTTGCTTGGCAGTGTCAGGAGTCTGAGGCTCACCAGCAGGTCCTGCCTCGCTCAGTGGACACTCTGTCCATCAGCGATGTCAGTCTAGTGATCGGAGTACACAGTAGAAATGAGGGAAAATGGAGT